GTGCACTTCTGGGGAATGTGTTTTTCCTCCAGGCACCTAATGCAAGCATCATGGCCATCAGCTGCCGGCATGGCTTCACGGCAAACTGAACATTTTTTTAAATTGGGGGACCCCAGCATTGTCAGGAGCCGGTAAGGGTGGCCAAATGCTGACCCTGCTTGATCCCCACTTCTCCTTTGTCAATTTCAGCTCTATTAACGCTGCGCCATAGCGCTTTCAAAAGACAGTGATTTTGAAGAGAAAAGTTAGGTTTGTTTTGTTTTTTTTAAACAGAAGAACAGTAGAACAGGAACACGACTAACAATAACTTTAAACTATTTACAGATGAAAACTAGCTAAACTCATGTCTGAGAAAAGAAACAAAGAAGAACACAGGGAGCTCCGCAGGGAGAACACAGGGGAGGACTGGGCCACAAGAAATCTGATGGAGGTTCAACAAGGACTAGTGCAGAGTCCTGCACTTGGGACGAAAGAATCCCAAGCATTGTTAGAAGCTGAGGACCAACCAGTTAAGTAGTAGCTCTACAGAAAAGGACCTGGGGGTTACAGTGCATGAGAAGCTGGATATGAGTCAGCAGTGTGCCCTTGTACCCAAGAAGGCTAATGGCATATTAGGTTGCATTACGAGGAGCATTGCCAGCAGATCCAGAGATGTCATTATTCCCCTTTATTCGGCTTTGGTGAGGCCACATCTGGAGTATTGTGTCCAGTTCTGGGCCTCCAATTACAGGAAGGATGTGGATGCATTGGAGAGGGTCCAGCGGAGGGCAACCAACATGATTAGAGGGCTGGAGCATATGACCTACGAGAAGAGGCTGAGGGATTTGGGTCTATTTAGTCTGCAGAAGAGAAGAGTGAGGGGGGATTTGATAGCAGCCTTCAACTTTTAAAGGGAGGTTCCAAAGAGGCTGGAGAAACTCAGTAGTGATGGATGGCAGAGCAAGGAACAAAGCTCTCAAGTTGCGATGGGAGAGGTCCAAGTTGGATATTAGGAAAAACTATTTCACTAAGAGGGTGGTGAAGCACTGGAATGGGTTATCTAGGGAAGTAGTGGAGTCTCCATCCCTAGAGGTGTTTAAGTCTCGGCTTGACAAAGCCCTGGCCGGGTTGATTTAGTTGGGATTGGTCCTGCCTAGAGCAGGGGGCTGGACTTGATGACACTCGGAGGTCTCTTCCAGCTCTATGGTTCTATGATTCTATGACCTGAGGCGGTTGAGAGGAACTGACAGTTGCCACCTGATCAAAGGCGCAAACGGCGCTTCAGAGAAGCCGCACATGTGTGGTACAGTGGAGCACGGCCATGAGAATTCTCTGAGCCATGGCACCGGGACGGGACCCGACACCAAGAGTGGAGCACCCATGGGCCACTCGAAGAAGAATTTACACCTCCAGCTCCTAAGTGACTTGACCAAAGGGTCTGTGGTTAAGGGAACAGAACCCCGAAGCTCAGTCCAAAGAACCGTCCTCCCCTCCATCCTTTTGGGTGCAGGGCACGAGTATGTTGATGGTGTGTGTGTTAGCAAGACCATGCTTGGGATGAGTTTGTGGTTGTGAATGCGTATAGTCCAGCATGTACAAGGAAAGAGGAGTGTGTGATTGGGAGCCGATCGGAGAGCATGTTCTGTGATTGCCAGTAAAGGAATAAAAGGACTAGTGGGGGCAGTAAAGTGTAGGACTGTGTGAGTGAGCATAGGTGCCCTATGTTTCTGTGAGGTTTGTGAATGGGGCTTGGCATGTTGGTGGCTGTTGAAGAGAGTTGGGACCAGGGGGAGTCTGTGCATATATGAAAGGGGAGCGTCTGCTAATGAGAACCTCTATGTCTGTATTGGCACCATTAGGGGCCATTTTGTATCTGGGCCCATTACAGACACCAAGACACTCAGTGAAGAGTACAGGGTAACTGCAGTCCCTCCTAGCATCTATTCTCCGCTTCTGCACATGCTGGTGGAGCTGGCCATATGCACAGAGAGATGTACTGTGCAGCAAGCCCATTCCCTCTATAGATAAGGGGATCTGTGATCCACAGTACTTGCTGGTGCTTCTGCTGACATGAGGCAGATACACCCCCAAAATGGCTAGCTCCCTTCGTTTTGCCAGGAAGCCAGCCTGACAGCTGTGGAGCCAGGAAAGACTGTTCCTGAGATTAGAGTTGTGGAGTAGAGTGGGGACAGCAGACGACTTTAACAAACAACATCCCTGATTAGATAACCACAAGCCAGCTGGACTTTGAGATGGTTGAGCAAGACTCTGAGGCACAGAAAACAGCTAGATGGCAGCTCTCACCAACGTGAGAGGAGAGTTGAAAGGTAAACAGTCATGCATGAATACTGATCTACATCAGATCACACTTTAACCCCACCATGCAGAGAGCATCCTCCTTATGCTCAGTCACTCCTGTATTTTCACGTGTACACACATACACATTCACGCACCCTTCTTATATTTCCAGTTACATTTCAGTCACTTTGTGGGCATAACCAGGTGTACAAGGGTTGCCAAATCTAGGGACAGGCTTTACAGTGCAAACTGGGTTTTAATCTCACCTTCTTATCCATTTCTGATCAGATCTGCCTCGCCCCCAGCTCCCCAGGGTTAGGGCACAGTTTTCCTTCCTTGCCTCATCAATCTTTATTATTTTATTTAAATACTTAATCAGGACAGGTAAAGGTCTCAATCAGTCTCTGAGGTTGAGAAGGAATTTTCCTCCAGGTCAGACAGAGACCTTGGAGATTTTTCACTCCAGCTTGGGGCAAAGGTCATTTGGTGGTTTGAACTAAAGTACGTAGTGGATTCTCTGTAACTTGAAGTCTTTAAAAGCATACTTTGAGAACTTCAGTAACTCAGTCAGAGATTAGAGGGTCTCTGAGAGGAGTGGGTGGATGGAGCTTCTGTGGCCTGTGATGTGCAGGTCAGATTAGATGATTGTGATGGTCCCTCTAAAGTCCATGAGTGTCAGGATCATGTTGTGCTAGGTCCTGTAGAAACACGCAGACCCCGGCCCAATGAATTTAAAATAATCCTAAGTGTTTGGTCCTCTTTTTCCTAATGGTTACAGATCCGTATTCCACTCACTTGTGCACATGCCATGCACACCAGAGCCAGAGAACTTTGTCTAGCAGTTCCCATGTGCACTTGAGTGGCATAAACATCTCAAAGAACAGACAAGCAACTGTCTTTTTATCACTGGGCCTGAGCCTCAACTGGTCCTTACCAAAGAGAGAGCACACTAGGGATGTAAAATCCCATTTAATTAGTTAACTGGTTAAGCATTAAATTTAACAGGTTAAGTGATTAAACAGGGATGGGCAGTGTGATCCCCGTGCCGTGGGCAGTAGCTGCTCCTGCTCAGTTGCTTCTGGCCCTTCTAGAGAGGTGGGCTGGGCTGGGAGTTGGCAGCCCAGGGAGAGGCCATAAGTGGCCGCGAGTGGGGGGGCTACTCCCAGGTAATGGTTATCCATTACCCTTTCACAACCCAAGAGCACACCAGTTTTCCAGGGTTTGCTCAAGAGACTCTAGAACCTCAGGCATGAATTTCTCCTTAGGGGTCTTTGCACCATGGCTCATATTTTAATATGGCTGAAGCTAATGCCACATCAGATAGGTATGCTTTGCTTACATTCTGTCCTGGCATATGTTCCTCCTGGCTGTTCAGAGACCTGAGACCTGTAATTCCTGTGGATTTCAGCCTGGAGGGAGCTGTGGGGTGGGTGACTTCACATTCCTCAGGAAAAAACACAACCATTTTTAAATAATTGCACACTGGATGATGGGCTCTTACACGGTATTTTAAAAAAATATTTAGAAAGATTTTTAGGAATTCTACCCAGTCATCAACCTTCCACCCTGCTTCTTTTAAGGTCCCAGTCATAACACATCAGACTACATGTCGGGAATGATATGTGTTCCTGAGCCTTTTGAAAGCTCAGAAACGGGGATCCAAGCTGGGTTTTTTCTGGGTCACTTCAAAGGAGCAGGAGAAATTTGGAAGGAGCACTTTGGTATGGTAACTGTACCCCTGCTCCCTTTACCCTCACCAGACCATTTTAATAGGGCTTGTCATAATAAATATTGGTTGTTACTATGCCGAATCAGTTGCAGGTGAAGAATAGCTAATTAGATCACTGAGTCTATCTCCCTGGAAGGGCAAGAGGGAGTTCCCAGGTGAGAGATGTATCAGATCACGAAAGAGATACTACAAGGTAGTTTGGGTTTTCTGGCAGTAGATATGCACTTCATGTCCATGTTATTCTGCCAACAGGATTATCAGCAAGAGTGAAAAGAATAATTGGGCCACAACTTGAGCTGGCTGAATCACTATAACTCTAATGACTTCCATGGTGCTATGTTTGTTTACACCAGCTGAGAGACTGCCCAGACAAATTCACTCAGATTCTTTGTGCATTTGCCATTGTCTAAGCCCCACACCAAAAGGTGGATGCGCCGCATATAGGAAAGTGCTCAGTGAAGGTTAAAAAACCTTCAACACGTGCCCTAAAAAGCAGGGAGATAACATCAGTATCCGAGCAAACACTGCATTGTTCAGTAAAAACAAGCTCTAATATCCAAGGCTATTTTGTATGTCACCTCTAAGAGTATGACGTTGGCTTACGCAGTCCTTGTAATGCACAGGTCCAACCCACAGTGGAAGGGCTTTCAAATTTCAAGTAGCCCAAGAGAAAAAAATCAGCCTTGTTTTCTGTGGTGATTTGACAAACGGAAAATGTCAGCAATGTGCACATAGATACCCCAGAAGTCATGTACATAGAGAATTCATTTGTTTCTCACAGGAAAAACCATACTAAGTTCATCACAGTGTCTGAAATGGATGATGAAGCTGTTGAACTGACCTGTCCAAAGAATCTTTATGGAATTTGTCATTCTCACTTGGAAAGAAACAGAAGTATAATTTTTCCACGCCTGTATAGGAGAGAATAAATCTGAGTGGTTGGGCAGTTTATGGTTCCTCAGCCAATCAGGGGTGCTATATAGAGACACCGCCTCTAACAGCCTGAAGAGGAGGAGAAACAAGGGAAAAAAATAATATTGCTGAGAGCTTTATAAAAAGTTTAGGAGTTGGGAAATTAGACCTGTTTGGCTGCAGCTACCTCACAAGTAACTTCTAGCGGAGAAGGAGACACTGTCCTCAAACAGTGAGTGATAATAAACCATTGATTCATTTCTGCTCTGAGTAGGGGAGGAGAGAGAGAGAATATGTATATTTTCTGTAAATGGATTTTGCTTTGTGAGGAACAGCTTGCAAGATTATGTAGGAGCCCCCTGTTCAAATCAGGAAAGAAACATTCATTCATTCTTAGTTCTTTCTTTTTTTAACTCCTACAGTGCACTCTCTCTCTCTCTCTCATCTGTCTTCTATAAACGTAATAAGCCCCATTTGAAGCAATGCTAATAATTATGGCTTAATGTTGTAACAAACAACACCTAGAGAAAGTGAATGTGAAAATATAGTCCTCTTTCATTTAAGAGGCTGAATCAATAGCCTGTGCATTTGTGTGTCATTTTTTGCTACTTGATTTAAATGGTGATACAGGGAGAGGCATGTGAGAAGATCTGGGATGCCGCTGCAGAACGCAATCTCTTTGTGTAATTTGCATGCAAGAAATAAAGTCAAGGCTGATGAAGTGTTAGAACCTGCCCTTTGTGTTTAATTTCCTCTGAAGGATTATAGCAGTAGCGCGGGTGAGACTGGTTTTGACAGGGGATAGAAGATTGTCTCAAATAGAGAAGACTACACAAAAAGACACAACAGGAAGCTGTTGGCAGAAGCATTTCCCCTGTCCTAGCAGTAGACCCTTTTGAACACAGAGGATGAGAACAGTCATCTTCAGTAACCTGCTCAGAGTTACAGAATACAAACAGGCTCATAGGCAGCTGCTGACCCCTTGGTCATCCCCACAGCTAGCACCCTCAACCTCCTACTTCACCCAAAACACTCACACTGTCCCTTGCTAGCACCCTAAGAACAAGACTTCTTTAGGGGATCTGCCAGAATTCTCCAGCTACTCCAGGGACAAGTGACAACTGCCAGCATAGGAGAACCCTCCTACAATCTTCCACTCCTACTATAGCCCCACCCAAGCCACTACCAAGAAGAAACTATCCTCAACACATGAAGGTGAGTGCCCTATACAACCCACCTCCCAGCTACTAGATCCCTATATGACCCAGCTGCACCCTAGTCCTCCAGACACCTGTTTCCCTCTGCTCTTTACCAGAAAAGAGATGCAGCAGCACTGAGCTCAGAGGGGAATGCAGAGCGATGTCCACTCCCCTCCACGGCTGCAAGGGCCAGTTGATGCCAGTCCCCAAAGCAGGAGAAGGGAAGGGGAATCCCTG